TGGCAGAGTGCGCCCCTGGCATGAGAAAGGCCTTTGGTTCGAGTGCCAACACTAGCAAACAATAGTGGAGGAAATAAAGACTTAGTTGCTAAAGTCTGGAGAAGGAAATGAACGATTCACAAATTCTTGGATTGCCAAGAAAAAAAAAATGGTAGTCCCACACCTCCCCCTATCCCCGAAGAATAAAATACTCTTGGAATAAAAAAAGGTAAAGCTATGGAGATATACCAACAGAGGAAAATTTGTCCAATGGAAAAAAAAGTTGAAGATGAGACTCCAAGAAGCAGAAAACAAAGAAAATCCATAACAGTTCCAATGAGTAAAGTCTCCCTGCTCTCATTTTGTGTGTGTGTGTGCGTGCACGTGTGTGTTGTGTGTGTGTTTATATGCACACATAATTGTTCTAATCTATGTGCCTTGTGAAGGACAAAAGAGGAAGAAAGGGGGGCTTGGTCAGTTTTGGCCAGAGGTCTTTGGATATCTATCACAACAGATAAAATCGGCCACCCCAAAGCACATCACTGGAAATTGGAGCATGAAGTCTAAGAAAATCCATCCACCTTCCCAATAAGGGCTGAGAGAAGACACAGGCTCAAAAGGACTTGGGCTCTGCAGCCTCAGACAAACCTTTAAAATTCTGAAAGAAACTGTTTCCCATCTAAAATGTTATGCTTGGCTAAACTGTGTACTTATCTGACATTAAAATAAAGATATTTAGATACACACCTTCTCAAAAGCTTTACCGCTTGCACACCTTTCATTAGAAAGCTCTCAGGAGGAGCTTGGGAGATGGCTCAATGTGTGTTAAAAGCTTGCCCTGCGAGCATAAGGGCCCGGGTTCGGATCCTCCACATCCACATATAAAGGCTGGCATGGTGGAGCACACCCATAGCCCCGGGCTTACTGGCCAGCCAGACTGGCTGAAACAAGCCCCCGTTTCAGTGAGAGACCCCATCTCGAAGAAATAATAGCAAGTGATAGGAGTAGATATCTATAGTCAAGCAGCTTGTGTGTTCACAGACGTACAGAGAAGAGCACGCACGCGCGCACGCACACACACACACACACACACACTAGACAACAAAAGACAAAACCAAGAAGAATGTTCAACCTGCTTCAAGCCTCCCACGGTGTCCACATGTACTGTACATGACATGGCTCCTCCATTAAAATATGCACAACTTCTATGATTTTGTATATCCGTTAAAATTAACTGTTTAAAAAAATACAACCTAAAAGAAAGTTACTACAGGTATCTCCTTGAGAAAGAGGAAAAGCTGGGAACAAGGATTAGGAGAGCATGGGGTGGGGGTGGGGTGCGAACAGCAAACTCCCTGTGCCCAGGTGCTCTGGAAGGTTAGAGAGAGCGGTTCCCAATCAGGGCCATAGGAGACTCCTGAGAAGGAGAATTTAGGCTTAAATCACTGAGAGAAAAACAAAACAAAACAGAAAAAACTACCTGGTTCCCCACACCTAGAATCCCATCATTCGGGGAAGAGGCAGGAGGATGGCACTGAGTTTGAGGCCAACCAGGTCTACACAGGGAGACCTTGACTCCAAAAACACATAGTAGCGACAACAACAAACCCTGTAGTACCCAACATTTCTATACTACTTACAAAATCTGGAGATCCACTGCCACAGTTTAGCAGATACCAGCAGAAGAGATGTTCTCGGCTCACAGAAAGGTAGCACCCCACTTCTCCAAGCAGGGTGCGGGGAGCCAGACCCTCCAGTACACCGTGGGCGGAGTGGGAAGCTGGAAGCCCTGGTTTAGGGACCTGGCCTTTTGCTCTGAGGATAATGGACTCTCTTCCTGTGTGCTGTGCAGACACCCTTAAAGGCTAAGCCAAACCGGCTCACTTGAAAGTGTGGGAGACCCTGTTGAGAACCAGGAGCCACACCGCCCCGTTTCTGAAATTCCTGGCAAGTAAAACTTCCATATAAATCAAATAAACAGTTGTACTTACCAAAACAACCGCGCCAGCAGTCACACCTCTCCCAATCTGTCACCCACTCTTTGCAAAAGAGCCCCCGAGCCTGGGGCAACCCAGAAAGAGTGAGAGCGGTCCTGACACTCCCGCCGGTACCAAAGCAAGCAGAGGGGCAGGCCGGAACCTACCCTTACCAAGTTACTTCTGGAAAGCCGCAAACTGCCCAGCTGCAGCCCATGGGCCTGAGTGCCTCCAAGCACGGGCCACGCTCTGTAAATTGGCTTCTCATGGTGTAAATGGGTAATTGAACCCGGCTGGATATGAAGCCCAGTCCTGGCATTTATCCCAGCCCTCCAAAGACAGAGGCAAAATTGCCACAACTTCAAGGCCTCCTTAGTCTAAAACCGTCTGATATCGTGGTCTACAAAGTTCACACTCAAGAACAGCAATGAAATTACAGACGCGTAGCTTTTTTGTTTGTTTGTTTGTTTATTGATTTCTTTGTGTGGCCCTGGTTGTCCTGTATCTCTTCTGCAGACCAGGCTGGCCTCGAACTCAGAGATCTGCCTGCCTCTGTCTCCCAAGCGGCTGGGATAAAGCCTAGGCCACCACGGCTCAGCTTTTTTGATTTCTGTTTTTTGAGACAATGTCTAGTTTTGCAGCGCTGGCTGGTCTGGCGTTTCGGCAAGTGTGTCCAACTTGCAGCTATGAAAGCAGCCAAGCACACATCTTTAAACTGACTGAAACACGAAAATTTAAAAATAAAACAAGTGTCGGGCAGTGGTGGTGCATGCCTTTAATCCCAGCGTTTTGGAGGCAGAGGTGGGAGAATTTCCAGATTCGAGGCCAGCCTGGTCTACATAGTGAGTTCCAGGACAGTCAGGGCTACACAGAGAAACCCTGCCTAGTTCTCAGTTCTTCACTGCAGCAGGCCTGGGGGCAGTGGCCCCTCTCCTGGTGGTGGCGGCAGGGGCAGGCTCAGGCGCTCAATGTTCCAGAGTGCGCAAGGGCACTGGGAACCCTGGTCCAGCCGGGCCGGTTCTGCTTCGCACGGGGGAAGGGGGGTGGTAGCGGCTTCCCCGCGGGGCAGCTCTTGGCCGCGCCTTCCCGGAGACCCGGAGACCACGGAGGAGGCGGCGCGCGTCCCCTTATCGACCCCATCTCCCGTTACATAAGGCCGCGTCGCTATCTCCGCAGGCCATCGCCGCGCCAGCGCGCCTTCTCCCACGCGCGGGGGCGCCTCCCGCTGCTCCCCGCAAGCCTTCTGCGTGTCTTTAAGGGGGCAAGGACGCGTTGACTCATTCATGCACCACCTAAGGTGTTTCCCCTAGCCTTCCCCCACCAAGAAGACCTCCAAGGGATCTGCCACCCACCCTGTCCTCCAGATTAAGAAACTGAAGCCCCATAGGGGTCACTAGTCTAGGCAAAGCACTCCCAAATCCTATGGTGTGTCCAGATTGAGAAACTGAGGCCCTACAGGGGTCACTTGTCTAGGAAATGCACTCCCAAGTCCTGTGGGACCGCCAGGGGTAGAGGCAGGTTTACAGCTCCCTGGTCTGTAGACAGGCGGGGGTGGGGGTGGGGGGGTGGGGGGTGGGGTGTGTGTGGGGGGTGACCTCCACTGTGGACAGGGAGCTGCCAGTGCTGTTCCCAATGAGAAGAGAGCTGAGCCAGGCTGCCTGGTGCAAGAGTGAGGGCGCCCGAGTCCCTTGAGGACCCTTGTGAGAAGATGGAGTCTGGCTGAGGGGAAGAAATGGGTGGGGAAAGAGTCTAAGGAAGAAGAGAGGGGCATGAAGGGGCCGCTGTTGGCCTAAGGGAGGAAGTGGGTGAAGGTGCATCTTGACATCACTACGCAATAAGCAAATGCTGCGGCCTCTGCAGAGGGTGGGTAGCTGAGAACGAGGAAAGAGTAGGGAAAAGGCCATGTGCTGGCACCCCTGCCTCTGAGGGCTGCCTGCAGGAGACAGCCCAGGAGCTGCTGCCCTTTGATCATCCTGAACGTTCTGGGAAACCTGAGGCCCTGGAGGGTCAGTCCTGCTTCTGCGGAGACTGGGAGGCAAGTGTGGGGGCCACAGCCTCTGCCATATCAGCCCTGTCAAGCTCTCTGACTTGGGCAGGAGTGCTGAGCAGCCTGCCCACCCAGGCGAGCTCTAGTGTCCCAGCAGAATGTCCAAGGGAGATTGCCCATCGGCAGGGTTAGCATCACAACAATTTTACAGTTGAAAGGTCAGGGGAGCCGGACGGTGGTGGCAAACGCCTTTAATCCCAGCACTCGGGAGGCAGAGGCAAGTGGATCTCTGTGAGTTTGAGACCAGCCTGGTCTACAAGAGCTAGTTCCAGGATAGACTCCAAACCTACAGAGAAACCCTGTCTTGAAAAGAGAGAGAGAGAGAGAGAGAGAGAGAGAGAGAGAGAGAGAGAGAGAGAGAAAGGCCCAGGGGAATACCTGAGCTGACTGCATCTCATTCTGAGCTTCTACAATCCCTCCTATTTGTGAAGTTCAGGAGCCGAGGGGTGGGCAGGAGTGAATTTTCCTTACTCTCTTAGTCCTGTTCGAATCCTGTAGCCTCTGATGATTTATGAGATATGCTTGTTGAAATTAAGAAGGGAGGAAAGGAAAGAAAGAGAAGAAAACGTCCCCGATTCTCACAGCAGACTGATATTGCCACATGCCCAGAGGCTGCCAGGTACTAACTGCCCCAAAGGGGTCAGTATTGGACTGGCTGCCCAGGAGCCTAGGGTGGCCATCAGGTAGAACTACTGGGGCGGAAGTCAGCTTTCTAATACCCACCCGGGAAACAAGCGACCGCTATCTTGGAAACTCTGCCCCAGACCGCTCTCAATCAATCCACTACATCAGACTCTAGACGGCACTGGATTTTCCAAAAAAGCAAAAAAAAAAAAAATCAAGATGAGTAAAGATGTGGTTTTTAGATAATGCCCAACAAAGCAGCGACCAGGGGTGAGGCGTCACCCCTTGGGCCTATAAAAGCTGCTGCAACAGGCTAAGGCCACAAGCCACCAGCTTAGGTCAGCATACGCTTCTTCTGCTCCTCGCTTCTCTTGTTGGCTCTGGGCTTCATGGCGCTCTGGTTGACGGCAGTCCTGGCTCTCGCCTGCCTCGGTGGTCTCGCTGCCCCAGGCCCGGTGCTGCGATCTGCGGCTCCTTCCGAAATGCCCCTCAGGGAGCTTATTGAGGAGTTGATCAACATCACACAAGACCAGAGGGTGAGTAACACACACACACACACCCCTCCCTGGAGCGCGTGGTGAGCAGGCTGAGTCTGGCCCTGTGTGTACAACCGAGGAAGCCCCCAGTCCCCAGGCTCAAAAGTGAGGGAGAAGAGAAGCTAGCCTGGGGAGGGGGCAGCAGTGTGGCCAGTAAATTGTCCCCTAAAAGAAAGATCTTTACAAGTGAACAGGTTTATGCCAAGAAAACCTGGTGAAGAGAGGTTTGCAGCTGGGAAACCGGACAGCTCTCAGACTCTCCCAGTCTAGGGGCAGTCATGGCGACAGGGAAGGGTTGGGATGTGGATCCAGAGCTTGCTAGGAGTGATCAAAGAATGGTGAGCAAAAGAGAGTGCCAGGGGATCCTTAAAACTCTGGGATGGCCAGTCATCGCCAGGGGCCTGCAGGAGGAAGGATGGGAGTGGGGCCGGGGGATGATGACTTTAGCTCTGGAAGGCTGATTACTGTGGTTTCCAGAAGCTGTCCCTGTTTAACCAAAGTAGAGGACTTTCTCAAAATGGCGGGGCCATGGCTAACAAATGGACCTTGAAGTAGTTGGCAGGGTCACTAGGGGCCTGGTCCCACTCCTACCAGCTCAACACAGGGGAAAGCCGGACAGGACATCTCCCAATGGGGTTTCCTACGCCATGACCCAGTCATGATGTCCCAGTCATGATGTCCCAGTCATGATGTCCCAGGCATGATGTCAAGCAGTTGGACGGGACTTGTAGCATCAATCTCCTCCCTATACCATCTCTGCTTACACTGCCTGACCGTTGATGATTGCTAAGCCTAGTGTTATGCTGTGTTGTCCCTGCTGGTACCTCTACAGGCAGGCACAGTGGCTTCTTTTGGCAAGGTTCAGGGAAGTTAATGTCAGAGTCTAGACTCAGGCCTTGCCAGAATCGTATGAACCTTTGTGTGTGTCTAACATAGCACCCCACTCAGAGAACAAACTAGGGGTGCATCGGACTCCTACTGCCACAGGTCTGACTTGACCAGGCCAGCAGCAGCTGCTCCCATCCCTCTACCTGACCCCACTCTGACCTTCTCAATAGGCCCCCTTGCTCTTGCCCAGACTGTGGCAAGCTTCAAAGAAGCCATTGTCCCTGCCAGTAGCCGCTCAATGTTCCTCTCTTAGCTCCAGGACTCTAACCCTGCCCCCAGCCCCTCCTGTTGAGTAGACATTGGAGCTCAGGGTGTTGGGTGATTGTCAGGCCCGACTCTATGCTACACTAGGGGTACTTGTGGACCTGGTCTGGCTGGGGCAGGCCCGTGACTCTTGCTACCATCTGCTCATGGTGTCTTTCCTTCCTCAGGCTCCCCTGTGCAATGGCAGCATGGTATGGAGCGTGGACCTGAGAGCTGGCGGGGTAAGGAGCCTGGGCTTCAGGGATGTGGTGGCGGCCGGAGGCCTGGGTTTCTTTCCTCTGTTCCTGCTGCTGGGGCTTTGCAAGCAACATTCAGAGCAAGACATGCCTGGACTATCAGGATTTGAGAGGTTGAGGCAGGAGGATTACCATAAGGAATATTACTATATAGGAAGTTCCAGGCTGGCCTGGGCTGCAGAGTGAGAGCCTGCCTCACAGAAATCAACAGTCAAAGCACACTCTAGCTCAGTGGTTCTCAGCCTTCCTGATGCTGCGACCCTTTGATACAGCTTCTCATGTAGTGGCGACCCCCAGCCAGAACATTATTTTCATTGATATTCCATAACTGTAACTTTGCTACTGTTGTGAGTCATAATGTAAATATCTGATATGCAGGATATCTGATATGGGACCCCAAAGGGGTCGTGACCCAGAGGTTGAGGACCACCTTTCGAGGAGCTACCCACTCACTCCTCAGAATCTAGGCTCCTCCTGCCCCCTATACCCGTCTGGCCAGCCAACTGCTTTCCTGTAACCTGAGCCAGTCCAACACCTGCCCTCTTTTCCCACAGTTCTGTGCAGCCCTGGATTCCCTGACCAACATCTCCAGTTGCAAACCCATCTACAAGACCCAGAGGATACTGAATGGACTCTGTACCCGGAAGGCCTCAGTGGGGGTAAGGTTTGCTCCACCGCAGCACCCACTCCTGTTAGCCTGCTGAGCACCCCACGGGTATGTCGCCCCAGGAGCGGGTCCACGATGGCAGTAGGGTCCCGGATTTAGGGACTTACAGGTCCTGGGCTCAAGGGCTCCCAACTTTTACCTGAGCCACACTTGTAAAGCAGAGACAAAAACAGAACCCACCTGGCAGGGACTTTTGGGAACATTGTTTGGCACAGCCCCTTGGAAAGTCCCTGACCATGGCGTCCTGCTAACAGGTGGGCCTCTCTGCTGTTTTACAGGTTTCCAACCTTCCAGACACCAAAATCGAACTGGCCCAGTTTATAAAAAAACTGCTCGAGTACTCAAGGCTACGTTTTCGCCACGGCAAATAACCCTGAAGACAGAAAAGCACAGATGCAGGCCCTGGGCGTCACAGTTGTGGAGCCATTGCTCTTGCTCAAAGCAGACCTTTCTTGGGGAGGCCGGGAGGAGGGCTGGGGATGGATGAGATTGGTTTAGCTTTGACCTCAGGCTGCCTGCCTAGTGCCAGGGGGCTTAGCCTGGCAACCTCCTCTGTCCCCCCCATCCCTGTGCCTGTGACCCTGCTTCATCCAGGCCAACTGAGGCAGAGAGCAACTTGGACACATTTCTTCTTGATCTTATTTATTATGGTTGTATGTTATTTAAATGAGTCTGTCAGTATTGGGGTGGGGGAATGGTTTGCTGCCTATGTCCCCAGTGGGCTCTGGGGTCCCTGGCAATAATCACTGTATACACAATTCTGCTACCTCGCTGGGGCCTCCAGGTCTCACCTCAGGCTGGGGACAGGAGGGAAGGCCAGAGCCACACAGAGCTGGCTGATGACAGGCCAGCAGGCAGCAACCAGCCCTCAGTCATAAAGTAACTTATTGTTTTATCCTTATATTTAAAATATTAAATAGGTTAGCAAAGAGTTAATAATATATGGAAGAAATGTCTGTTACACTTAAGGTGATGTGTGGGGAGTGGGGGCAAGGGTTGTCATTGAACATGTTTTTTCATTGACTGTCAAACTAGAAACCAGAAATAAAGATGGTGACAGATAGCCCTGTCTGTTTTTGCTGTCTCTTTTGATCCTTGGGGATGCTGACCTGTGTGGGCTCCAAACTGAGGAGCTCAGTGTGAGACAGGCTCCTCAAAGGAGGTAGGGGGGATAAAGGGAAAGACCTAGGCTGAAAGCAAACCCTCTGGGCTGGAGGGGAGGGGAAGTAGAGGGTACCCTCCCTGTCTACTGTTGGTGAACAGGGGGAGCTTGGGCCAGGAAGTTGGGGTTCAAGGGGGATGTCTAGAGCAGGCAGGGGACCTCTTGGGTATCTCCTGATGACTGGCCAGCTGTGTCTGCACCACCCACACAGTCTCAGGTCTCCCTTGCCACAGGGGGAGTCACAGAAGAGTCTGAGACACGGTGAGGGCAGGAGGCTCGCCCAAGGCACATGCTGGGAGGGAACAACGCCCCACACTGCCTCTCTTCAAAAGCCACCTGCATCAATTCATGGCTCTTCTCTACTACACTGTCTGCTTGGATGCCCACTGTTGAAAGGGCATTCACTACTTACATTTAGCGACAGTCGGTTCAATTTCTGGACCCCACTCATTGCCGCTTTGTAAGCCAGGATGAATCGGTTGACATGTGGGGGCTGGGAAGATAGACAAGGGCACAGAAGATGGCACACCAGGGCAGGGGGACTGTCTTCCGCTTGCTGGCCCAGAAGCTGGAGTGGTGAGAGTACCTGCATCAGGAAGCCCTGGCTAACACGATGTCTGCCAGCATCCTTGAGAGATGCTACCCAGAGCAGAAAGAGGCCCAGAAGGGCAGGGTACCTTGGCAGCAGGTGGGAAGTGGGGTTGAGACCACTCAGACTCTGACAGACAAGCAGGCACCCTCCTGGGACAGGCTGGAACCGGTGCTCACAACCACACGTCAGCCACACAACACCAGAAGACATGGCAGGAGCTCAGCCAACTCTTGGGGAGTCAGTGTTCCCTTCTTGCTTCACTGCCAACAATGGAAAGAGGGGAAGAGGCCAAGAAGCGGCACTGGGAATCAGCCACCCTGGAAGAGAGGGAGAGAATCCCTGCAGAGGGTGTGGGATGTGTGCAGCGGGGCAGGACTGGCTCCCAGTAGTGCCAAAGGGGCCACGTTTGCTGAGGACCATCTGTGGCTGGCACAGTACCAGCCACCTAGACCAGGGACTGCAAGACACAGTAACAGACAGAACTTACAAAGATATGTGTGTCGGGGGGATGTTCTCCTCCATCCTCCCTGCTGGGGTACTGCTGGAAAGTCAGGGGTGAGCAATGATCTTGGCCTCCTTCTCCACCCATAACCTAGAATAAAAAGATAGATGGATTGTTTTGTTGTTTTTTTTTTTTTTTTTTTTTTTTTGTTGTTGTTGTTGTTGTTTTGAGACATGGTTTCTCTGTTAGCCCTGGCTGTCCTGGAAAAAAAACTGTGGACCAGGCTGGCCTCAGACTCAGAGATTGACCAGCCTCTGCCTTTCAAGTGCTGGGATCAAAGGTGTGTGCCATCAAAACCATCTTGGTTGATTGTTTAAGAAAAGGGTGATGTATACAAATGTGTATAAATGTGTATGTATGTATGAATGTGCATGTGTACACACGTATAGGATGTGTGTGACTATGCATGTATATGTTTATGTGTGTATTACTGTGTATGTGTGTGTGTGTAAAAAACTAGAAGTCAACCCTGGGTGTTGTTCCTCAGGAGTAATCTACCTTGGTATTTTTGTTTGCTTTATTTTTGGTTTTTCAAGACAGGGTTCCCCTATGTAGCTTTGACTGTCCCGAAACTCACTTTGTAGACCAGGTTGGCCTTGAACTCACAGAGATCCTCCTGCCTCTGCTTCCTGAGTGCTGTGATTAAAGGTGTGTACCACCATCGCTAGCTGAACCTTGTTTTTCTATATAGGTCTCTCACTCACTGGTCTAGAACTGGCCTGTTAGGCTATCTATGCTGGCTGGTCAACAATCTCCAGAGATACTCCAGTCTCTGTCTCCCAGAGTTGAAGTTACAAGTGTGCCCCATCCCACCCTTTTTCTCGTGCTTCCGAGGCAAATGATTTACCCACTGATCCATCTCCCCAGACCCCAAGAATGATGATTTTCTGTGCATTCTCTCATCAATATAGTTTCATCTTTACCCTGGTCCTCTCTACCTGACCAAGGTGTCACCTGTCTGGGGGTAAAAACACTTGCTGTGGGGGCTGGAGAAATGGCTCAGTGGTTAAGAGCATTGCCTGCTCTTCCAAAGGTCCTGAGTTCAATTCCCAGCAACCACATGGTGGCTCACAACCATCTGTAAAAGAGGTCTGGCGCCCTCTTCTGGCCCTCAGGCATACAGACAGAATATTGTATACATAATAAATAAATAAATATTTAAAAAAAAAAAAAACACTTGCTGTGCAATCCTGATGACCTAAATTCCACCTCTGGGACTTGTGCAGAAGGTCTGATACTGTGGTAGCACCTGTAACCCCAGGACTCTTACAGTAATATGGGAGGTGAAGACAGGAGAATTGCCCAGAAGCTCATGGGTCTGCTAACTCCCAAAAAAGACAGAATAACAGGGCTGGAGAGATGGTTCCGGGGTTAAGATCTTCCAGCAGCCCCAGGTTCAATTCCTAGCCCCCACTCACACAGTGGCTTACAACCAACTGTAACTCCAGTATCAGGAGATCTAATGCCCTCTTCTGGCCTCCATGGGCACTGCACACACGCAAGCCCTTATCACATAAAATAGAAAAATAAAATCTCGGTAGGGGATGGTGACGCACACCTTTAATCCCAGCATTCGGGAGGCAGAGGCAGGTGGATCTCTGTGAGTTTGAGGCCAGCCTGATCTACAGAGCAAGTTCCAGAACAGGCTCCAAAGCTACACAGAAAAACTCTGTCTTGAAAAAACACAACAAACAAACAAACAAAATGAAAAACCTCAAAAAAATTTTAGGTTTAAAGAAAGAACCAAAAAATTGTTCTTTGACCTCCATGTACACAGTAGCACAGGTGCACTGCACATAAAAATGTGTGTTCACACACACACACACACACACACACCAATCTCTTTCTCTCTTCTTTCTCTCTCTCCTCCCTCCCTCTGCTCTCTCCCCTGTCTCTCTCTCTGCCTCTCTCTCTCTGCGTCTTTCTCACTCTCTCCCTCTCTTTTCCTCCTCCCCCTCCTTCTCTCTCTCACTCTCTTTCCTTTTTCCCCTTCCCTCCTTCTCTTCTCTCTCTTTCTTTCTCTCACTCTCTCCCTTTCTTCTCTCTCTCTCTCTCTCTCTCTCTCTCTCTCTCTCTCTCTCTCTCTCTCTCTCTCTCTCTCTCCCCTCCCCTTTCTCGCCACCACGCGCCCCCAGCTAGCTCCCTCCTCCACCCCCACACCCCCACTCCTTTATACAGGACTGTGTGCCTCAGACAAGGGCAGACCTGTGGTCCTTAATAGGATACACTGGACCCTTCAGGAACAAAGGAGACTTACATTGCCACAGAATGAAGCTGGCATAGCTGACGGCAAGGAGGTGGCCCAGTCAGGAACAAGAGAAGGAGGAAGAACCAGGAGAAATGTAAGTTTGAAAACATCACCTCGAGGCCCTAGAGGGACCACGGCACTCCTGGAAAGCTGCTGGGAGCTGTCTCCCATACATAAGGGCAATTCTCAGCAGTGCCCAGAGACAGGGGCACTGAGAAGAGGTAAAGGACCCTGAAGAGTGGGGGAGGCAGAGCTGGTCAGGGTATGGGGTGAGTGGCCCCTCAGCTCCCCAGGCTCAGGAGGTTTCACTGAAGGAGGGAGGGAGGGACAGGGGCTCAGATGAGAAGTGAGACACGCACTCTGTTTCCGCTGAACTCAACAGTAAGCACTTGTACCACTCAGGCAAGGTGTTGAAAACAGTCACATCAAGGGCTTCTCTGGGGCCAGTCCCTGAGGTGTTCAGGACAAAGAGGAGCCGGGCAAAGGATGAGTCTGTCTGTCCCCTAGCGCTGAGGGCAGCTAGGAGGATGGGCTGGTCCAGTCTGTACTGCAGTCGGTGCTTTGATCCTGCAGTCAGCTGGTTAGTGGAGGTCAACCTCAGCTAGCCCTGCTTCTTCTCCCTCCTGAGAGGGTGGCAGGTGCTGCTGGCTGTGTGTCTTGGCTGGGGGCACCCTGGTCCACCCTGGTCGTATGGTCCCATGCTTTAAGCTGTGTCCGCCGTCACCCCTCCCCCACACTGCCCTCCCTTACTCTGAAAACTAAACGTCACCAGGCCTCACTATCTTCATTCATTTCTCAGCTCCACCCAAAAGTGACAGAGTGCATGGCTTACAACGAACTTTCTCAGATCAACTGATTTCTCGGCAGCCAGGGAGGCCCCCCGTGACGTGACGAAGCCGTTCGAAATCCCAGAACCAATTTTCTACTTACGACCTCACTTTCTGTTGCTCTCTCTCTCCCTTCCTTTCCACAGTGCCATCGCGAGTGGAAAGTGATCCCCTCACGGAGTGACTGCCGAAGAAATGCCCGCCCCCAGTCCTGCCCTGCCTGGGCTGTTGTGTGGTCAGAGGTGACGCAGGCACCCAAATTAAATATAGCAGATCTCGTCATCTCTGCTCTGAGCACCGCAGTGGACCAGTGGGTGGGGGCTGCACAGTTCTTCCTGAAACCCTCCTGGGGAAACAGCCAGGCTGTCCCCTACTGGACTGGCCACCTAGACCCATAGGCCTGTGGCCCCTGACCCTACTCAGGCTCACACTGGAGGAGTTCAAGAGACATCGAGGAAGATAAAGCAGCTTGCTTGACTGTTCTCTCACGTCTGCTAAATATCTCTTTATCATGAGTATCCATCCATTCCCTAGTGGGGCCAGGGGCAAAGACACATCTCGTATAGAAAACAGAACATTGCTGAGGTTCCTTGAAGGGCCAAGTCAGGACTGGGGCTGGAGAAGGAACTAACAGCATCCTGGTCCCCTAAACTCTCTCAGGAGGGGATCATGTCTGGGAAGGCATGGCTGCAGCCTGGCCAGATGAGCCATCTGCTCTCCTGGGCCTCCAGG